TTGATGCCAGATTCCTAATTATTACTTCAAACACAACAACAGAGCAGCATCAGCAGGGTTTTTTTTAAATCTCTTCAGCTGGAGTTTCTAGCCACACCTACTTCCTCTTACAAGAAATATTTTTCTTCTCATAACCATATGGCCAAATACATATTAGTTTTTGCAAGACATTTTGGATTTTTTAAAAGAGCTTAATCTGTTCCACAGCTTTTACCTAAATGTTAACCTATCTTGCATTTAACATGCTGGCATATTTATATTATATTCATTATACATACTGGCTGTGTCTAGACTGGCAAGTTTTTCCGCAAAATCAAATGATTTTGCGGAAAAACTTGCCAGCTGTCTACACTGGCCGCTTGAATTTCTGGAAAAGCACTGACGATCTCCTGTAAAATCATCAGTGCTTTTCCGGAAATACTATGCTGCTCCCGTTCGGGCAAAAGTCTTTTTCCGAAAGACTTTTGCGTGAAAGGGCCAGTGTAGACAGCATAGTATTGTTTTCCACAAAAAAGCCCCAATTGCAAAAATGGCGATCGGGGCTTTTTTGCAGAAAACCGTGTCTAGATTGGCCACGGACGCTTTTCCGCAAAAAGTGCTTTTGCGGAAAAACATCCTGCCAATCTAGACATGCTTTTCCGAAAATGCTTTTAACGGAAAACTTTTCCGTTAAAAGCATTTTCGGAAATTCATGCCAGTGTAGACGTAGCCACTTTGTACTGAATTTGCTTCATATGTTGTTAGAACCAAACCTCTTGAAATTTCCTTTCCTAGTGCCAAATCATGGGTCCTTGTTACAGGGGAACTCCATATTAGTTTCTCTAATTAATGTGCCAAATACCCTAATGCGTGAAAGTGTAATTTGTTTCCGTAGTATTGAGCACTATGATCCTGATCCAGGAAGCATTTAAGTAGGTGCTTAATTTTATGTGTAAAGGGACTGTTAGCCCCTTACTAAAACTCTGGGGGTGCGTCTAGACTGGCAAGATTTTGCGCAAAAGCAGTTGCTTTTGCGCAAAAACTTGCCAGCTGTCTACACTGGCCCCTTGAATTTGTGCAAGAACACTGATGTTCTAATGTAAGAATTCAGTGCTTCTTGCGCAAATATTTTGATGCTCCCGCTCAGGGATAAGCCCTCTTGCACAAGAATACTTGTGGAAGAGGGCCAGTGTAGACAGGCACCTTAATTTTTTGCACAAGAAAGCCCAATGGCTAAAATGGCAGAGTGTAAGGACAGTTCACAGTCTCTTCCTTATAGGTCCCTTAGAGGCCCTGGATGTGCTGCAGGCGGGCTGCAGGCTGGACACGCTTGCTCTGGCAAAGACTACACAGCCTAAAGCACTTTTTGCGCAAAAGCATCCGTGCCAATCTAGACGCTCTTTTGCGGAAATACTTTTAACGGAAAAGCTTTTCCATTAAAAGTATTTCTGCAAAATCATGCCAGTCTAGACGCAGGCTGGGAGTTTTTGGTTCGCCAGTTCCCAGTATCAAAAGGGGAAGGTTCCATGAGAAATCAGGGCTCTGAGACTGACAGACCCCAGAGACAATGGAAAGCAGCCAACACTCCAGCTTGGCCTGATTGACAGGTTGGACAGGCCAGTGAGGAAAGTAAGAGGCCAGGCCCCGTCCTCCCTGTGAATTGGGATTTTTCTGGGTCTCTCTGAACAAGGAGAGAGCTAGCTAAGAGGAGCAAGCTGTGCTGAGGGGCAGCTTTGCAGCAACAGAGCCAGGCACACACAGCTCAAGGAGCGCAGACCCTGTGTTGAGCAGCAGACTGGCAGTGCTCAGAGAGACAAAAGAGACAGAGAAGCAACGCAAGCAGCTGGAGACTAGCAAAGCAGCACAGCCTGCAGCTGGGTGTGGTGAGCAGCTGGGACCAGCAAAGTGGGGGGAGAGGCTCTGGGCAGGAAAATATCCCCAGCCAAGAGGCCCAGCAGGCCAGCCTGGGAGAGGGGTCTGACCACCTAGAGCTTGAGGCTGTGTGTTCTTTGCCAGAGCAAGCGTGTCCAGCCTGCAGCCCCCCTGCAGCACATCCAGGGTCTCTTAAGGGGCATATAAGGAAGAGACTGTGAACTGTCCTTACACTCTGCAGATTGCTGTTTGTGATGTCCCCATGCTACAGAGCAGGACTGTGTGTTCTCATTTAACCTTTCTCATTTTTTCTTACTCTTTTCTATCTAATCAGTTGATGTTTAATAAATTGTATTTGCTTTGAACTTTATGGAATGATCAGTGGGCCAAGAAAGCACGCAGTGTGACGAGAGCACCCTGGAGTGGGGACACTCTAGCTCCTGCCGCAAGTGACTACAAGGTCGGTGATTAAGCCCCAGGAAACCTGGGCCCAGCCTTGTTGGGGTTTTGAGACTCTGTTACTCAGGAGAGTGGTGGGGGAGCCCTCAGGATCAGGGAGGCTGTGGAGTAAAGGAAGTGGGAGCGGGGACTCAGATCCTTTCGTTGGTCCATTTCACCAGGGTAGTATAGAACTCAGGAAAGTTCCCCATAATAGTGGGACCATTCCCCCATTTACAAATGCATGTGAGCAGTCCTATTGGAGTGGCTAGTTATCATGTGTGCCTGATAATTTAAGATGAGCATCCCACAGATTTCCCTTCAATTTTCTCTAAAGACCCTCATATCCAAGGCTCTGTGTTCTTGCCAAGAAAAGGTGAGAGACTTTGGAATATAGTAATTTGTTTTCTGTCTTACATTAAAAACCCCACACACATTCTGTCATAAACATGAGCAAGAATGTGGGCAACTTTGTTGGAAATATTTAGATACTCTGGAAAAATATACAAAGCAAATTGCTAGTATATCGCACAATGGTCAACATGCATACTTTAAAAGGCATTGTGGGGATAAAACAGGTATTTTCAAACCTATAAATTGCCACACTCAAAGGAGAAACCACAAATGACCTAACTTTTCAGGCAGTTTGAGAAAATAAGCATTCTCGATGAATGGTCAGTCATAAAAGCCCATTTGCCTCCAAGAAATAAATCCTGAAGAAATTGCTGCATATGTTGGCATTCTGTTCAAAGGGTACTGGGTCATGATACTCCCTTCTCCTCCCTCAAACAAAAAAGTAAAAAATGCTAAGTATGATTCACAGTGCCTATCTGTATTCTCTTGAGTATAAGAAAAGAGCCCAGGACGTCCTGCTTCAGATAGGAGTGGGTGTTACCACTGTTGGGGAGGTATACAAGTGTGAAATGCGTAATAAACACAGGAAGCAAAATACAAAAAACCCACTAAAACTACATGGAATTCTTGATTGCTCTTGTATCAGTTTGGCACACATCTAATTACATTAAATGAGAAAGATTGCCTTTTATTAGTGAATTACTACTTGGATTATTTTTAAATTGAGCGATGTGTCACAATGCCAGTAAACATAAATTACAGTTTCCTCACCAGGGGATTCAAGAAAAGTTAATAAGAGAGAATGGCCCACAATTTAGAAGTGGATCATGTGGGCAGTTTTCATTAACAGATCGGCTGAAGCATACGATGTCATATCTATGCTTTTCATATGAAAATAATTAGCAGGACATTCAGTACACATAGAAAATAACTTGATTATTTAAAAGAATTAAAAGACAAGCAGAAGCAGCAGTGCTGGTTTTCACGGATCCTGCCACCTCTTAGCAAAGTTAGAATACTGCAACACAGCTACTAGAATCACTAATTCAAACACTGATGTTCAGAAGGCAAAAAACTCAGTGCCATGATCTAATCAGCATTTGAGCCAATGACAATTCATTAGGAAGTACAGTACGGCTGTGTCTACATTGGCACCCCTTTCCGGAAAAGGGATGCTAATGAGACCAGTTGGAATTGCAAATGCCGCGGGGGATTTAAATATTCCCCGCGGCATTTCCATGAACATGGCTGCTGCTTTTTTCCGGCTCGTGGTTTTGCCGGAGAAACGCGCCAGTCTAGACGGGATCTTGCGGAAAATAAGCCCTTTTCCGGAAGATCCCTTATTCCTACTTGAAAGTGTCGGAGCATCCCACAATCATTAATTGTATTTACCCTCACAAAGTGCCTGGGAAATAGGAAGGAATTATTAACCCATTTTGCAGATGTAGTATGGCAACCCACAGAGGCCAAAAGACTTGTCCAGGCCACACAGGAAATCCATGGTAAAGCAGGACCCTGATGCTTTGTTTCCAAAGTCCTAGTTTCGCACACTAAGCACTAAATCATCCTTACTCTCCCACTGTTCAGAACAGCTGGGAGGGAAGCAGCATGGTAATGGGGCAGATAAGGACCTAAGATAGACAGTCATCCAGTACTGAACTTTGGGAAATACACTACTCTGAGCTGCACCATGGCTGAGCATCAGAGTAACCTATCCCTCTCCAGAGTCAAGGAAACTGCATATGGATTGGATCCCTCTGATGTCATTTGTAGCAGCCAGCATGGGAGAGTCATGGACTGCTCCTGGAAGCAAAGGTCTGGTAGTCACAAAAGATACATCTAGACTGTAGACACGGAATCTGGTTGCAGCTGGTGTAGACATACCAGAGCTAGCTTGAGTCCCAGAGCCGTGAAACCATTTCAGTGTATGCTACACTACCCCCTGCGAATCTGGATAATTACTTGCTGGACTAGCTTGTGTTGCTGCAACTTCACTGTTCTGGACCCCAAGATAGCTAGATTTAAACTAGTTTGGGTATGGCTGATTCCACTGATGTAGTTGCTCTCTGTTACTGTAATTTAGGCATACTCATAGACAACACAGGATTGATGAGGATGAGTGGATGTCTCCCACTGCTGGGGACAAACATTGTTCATCCCTTAGCTTGTGCCATAGACACCAACAGAGTTAGGATTTTACCTTCAGATTTTTATTTTGGTGATTGCTTTGTCTTTGAAATGCTGCTCCCATTTAAGTGGAGGATAAACTCCCATTGAGTTCAATGGGTTCAAGATCAGGATCATTCCCCATGTCTATTAGCTGTGGCTTTCTTTTTTGTCATAGACAGTTTCCTTCATTAAAATTTTTGCCAGGGCAGAAAAAAAATAGATGTGCTGCTCAGTAAATTGTGAAATATTTGCATTTTGAGGCCAGCCCCACAACCATTGCTCCTCCTCTGACATTAAGATGACACATTTTATAGAGCGGCAGCTGCTGTAGCTGGTATTACTCTTCTCAGCCATCTAAGACTTGGAGGTAACAATGGAGCGGCCACCAGTGTTTCAGCAGCGAGTAAGTTTTAACAAGAGATATGAATTTTATCTCAAAGCAATAAGATACAGTGATGTTAAATGTTAAGGAATATTTTTGTGTTCACCTATTTATTTTAAAGCTGTCAAATCAGTCTAGCAGAGATCACTGGGAATTAAATATGACCTATTTAGCATCTAAAACCGAGTGGAAAAGAAGGTGTCCTTTTGGAGGGTAAGATGAAATAAGGTACAACTTCTAAGTCAAGGAGTTTGTAAGATAATTTTGATTTTTTATCTGTAAACTAAAAAAGCCACCTCATGTAAACAAAGGCATTTGCCAATAACACCCAAATGAAAGAATGTGAAGAATCCAACTTGCTTGTTATTTCTGCTTGTTATTTATTTTGTGCATTTTTCTCAGCTTGGACAATGGAAATGAATGAAGTTACTTTCATTTTCAGGCTCTGTGCTGTAATGTTTGGATTGCAAATGCTGCTGGGAAATTATTAGTTTAAAATCAGCTGTTGTCATTGGGATGTTTATAAAACCATTCTGCTGGTTTAAGCATATTCATTAATCTTTTAAGTTCACTTTTCACCGATGCTTGCAGATACAGAAAAAATTTGGAGGGCTAAATGGTTTCATCTCTATCTCAATTTATTTTTCCTCACTGTGTAGGTATAGTTTTTTCCTTACAGATTCATTTTCTCTGATCTTACATTTTTTACGTGTATTTATTTCTGTATTTAGTTCTGTGTTAAATTTATTCTCTTTTTCAAAGACACTCAAGTGGAGATGTCTGGGTTCTGTCCCTGAATCTGTTTGTAACCAGGACAAATTTACTTCATTTTATGCCTTTCATTGTAATCTCATTCTACCTGAGTTACCCCATTTTTAAAATAGAGGGATTGGGGGAATGATGCTTAATCACCTTTGTAAAGCACATTGTGTTACACAGAAGGGAAGTGTGATAAACAGCAAGAGCAAATTGTTTCTCTTTTTTTTCTATTCTGCCCACAGTCTCTAACCTCTCCCACCTCCCTCCACCTCTAGGATTCTCTGTACATCTTCTGCCCATCTGTACTCCAACTCCTAAAGCACTTTCTCTCTCCATTTTCTATTTTCTCAAGGCCCTGTTCCCCTATTTCTTCCTTCCGTCCCCTTTCCCCACCACTAAGGGCCTCCCCCCCCATCTTGTCCTCCCCTCCCCCCCACATCTTGGGTTTTCTGTTCTCACATTGTCCTTCTATCCTCAGTGTCTCCCTCACCTCCATTCCCTGCCTTCACTGCTACTTGCCCATTCACTTCTGTGTCCTATAACTTCATTTCTTTCCTCTTGTTTCTTTCTCTCTCTCAGTCAGTTGTTTTCTCTCTTCCTGCCTTGGGGCCTTTGTTTCCCTGACTTGCTCTCTCCTCTTCCAGTTGTCACCACCAGAGTTCTCCTCTTCATTTCCATTTTCCTAATCCCTTGTCTTCTTGCACAGGTGACTGCAGCAAAAAGGGGAAGCAGGGCCCTCTGGCAGCTGGGAACAATTGTAGTAATTGCTCTCCCCTGTACATAGTGACCCCTGCAGGGACAGAGCAGAACTGCATTTATACACTGTACCATGCTCTCTCTCTCTCTGCCCTCTACCCAGGGGTGGATGAGGGTTTTGCGGGGCCCGCCTTTGACACAGCGCATGTGCCATGGTGCCACTGCACATGCACAGGGCCTCGAAGTGCTGGGCCCGGGTCAGCTGCCCCGCTCGCCCTGCCCTATATCTGCCACTTCCTCTACCTCACCATTCAAGTGCTAAAACAAAATGGTCCATTTCTCAATCCTTGAAGATCCCATTTGCTTTCAGAGTGAGGGTGATCATATGGATTGGAAAGTGTGCAGGTGCGAGGGGAAAGATACAAATCTCACCTGAACTCTGCATGCCAGTTACTGGGCCTGTATGACAGAGAAGGACAAGATTCCTGGGCAGAGGAAACTTTAAATTTATTCTGATCCAATCTAGGCATTTCTAATGCACCGATACCAGGGTACCTGAGCACAGATCCTGAGAACAATCAGACCAATGCATGAGCACATCTATTTGCAAAGCTATGTGGAAGAGATATAAATATTAACTTACAACACAGAGAAGGGTGGCACCAGAGAGGTGTGTGAAACAAACTCTGGGTTTAAATACCCCAACAACAATCTGAGGTTTTTGAAATGCAAGTTATCAAAGGATCAGCCTGGGATGGAGGCCAAGTTGGAGTTTAAGAAAGGAATGTCTCTTCAAATGAGTTGCATCACACTTCAGTGAAGTTTCAGTACTGTAAAAGGTCTCCTACACAACTTAAAACTCAAACAACACCCCCTCTTCTCACATATCTCAATTCGCTTCTCCAATTTGGATTCCTACTGCTGTGAATTATTGTTGGACCAATCACATACAAATTTGAATGGTCCTGGACTCAGAGAGGATCGTATTCTGCTCTTATAAGGCTGCACAGTTTGAATATTGTTCTAGCACTACAAAGTGGTCAGTCGGAAGGAAGAACATTCCTTACTTTTACTTATCTTTCGCAGGTCTCAGAATCTTCCCTAAACATCTCTTGTGCAAATCTAAGATCAGCAAAATTTTAAAGCCAATGAAGTAATACTAAAATCAATAGAAGTCACTGACATCACTTACATTATGCATCAGTCTTTTCTCAATAATATTCTCTTATATAATTTTCAATATTTTACTAACTCATTCTTAAAAATAATTAACATATCAAATATACCTCATAAAATATACTTCATATATTTAAATATAAGTACAGAAAGAGTTTTGTTCTTAGTGAACGGATTAAAAGCTATGGAAAATATATATACTGAACAATGCATCCTATTTAAAATGAAAAGGGTATAAAATGTAGCTTATCTATAGCTGTCACTTTTTAAATGTCTTTGGTTGATCCTTGAGCAGATATGTAGTATGTTGCAAAAGGATCTGAGGATGGATTGTTGAGAAACTGGAAGGACCAATTTCTTTATCCATTCTGACCTTGAAGATACAGGTTACTTTGTTTAAAACATATTGAACCTAGTGTATAATCTGGGTATTTATAAAATACCTAATCATTGAGGTATCCAAGTCATGACATTCCAACATAGGATCACAGTATATTGAATGGAATCTGCTCTTTAGTCTAGATTTTGCCACACTTTTTCCTTGTGTTTTTAGTTTATTTTTTAACTTCTCTGTTTGTCATTTTCTATCTGTATCTGTGGAGTTCGGTTGTTAGCTCTGTTGTTATGGAAAGATTGTGTTGAAAACATGCCGTCAACACAGTCATGCTTACACTGATTTGTTTCAGTGAGGCATCTCACAGATCATGGCAGACAGCTAACAATGCTGGACCTCCAGCTCTGGCATGTTTCATCACGGACGCAGATGGCTTCATGCCTTAGAATGCAATTAGGGGGCTGAGTAGAGGTATTTTTTCTCAATACTTGAAAATAAAGGAATAATCCTATACACACAATAGTTCATATAAACTAATATATGGGTGTAGGAGTTTCTTGGGATAATTATGGAATGTCGTAAGACTCCAGTGATGTGATCCTAATATTTAAAGAAAGGGCTACCACAAAGTTGTTTTTTCCCTCCTTGTTTAAACATTGGGATTTAAGTGTGTATCCTTGAGGAGAATACAAAGGCAAAAGAATTAACATTTATTTGTCTCTTCAAAAATAATCCTCTCTCACTGTAACCCCAGTCAAGCAGAGTGGAACCCATTACTTGGTAATGGAGGAGGTTGAGAAGAAGGTGTGCACTATGAGGTGACTTTACATTTCCTATTATTATGAGTTTGTATTGGGCATGGTGGGGCAGATCCTCAGCAGGTGTAAACTGTCATAGCAGTTCACCCCAACTAAGGAACTGCCTTATTGTGTCTGATTTTTACATCTTCTGCTCCCTTTGCAAACAGCTTTAGTTTATTTTAATTTCCCCATTTTGTCTGAGTGGGACAGTGCCCCAGTGCCAGAACAGCCATTGGGGAGTCTCCTGCAGACACACCTGGGCACCAAGGAGAAGGGGGCTTTAGGGTTTCCAGAAGAGGGGTTAGACAATTAGCTCTCCCTCCCCCCACCCTCCCTGGCCATGGTTCTGAAGCAGGAGCCTTCTTGGAGCAGCAGCCTCATCTTAAATGGATCCTCAAGCACAAAAAAAGATCTTACTGGGTTTCTTCTCTAGAGCAGAACTTTCACTTCAGAGCACTGGAAGAGGTAGGCAGCAGAAGCAGAATAAAATTGGGATAAAAAAATCACTAGATCAGCAGATATCTTTGCATTCAAGTGTTAAACTTCTTGACAGAGTGGTAGATTTTAAAAGAAAAATGTACGTGTAATTTTTAAAAAAATGTAGTTATTTTAAATGTAGATGGCTGATAATATGTACTTGCTTTCTGAATAAATGAAGTGCAACTTAAGTTTCACTCTGGTTGCCTAAGATCCCATCCTTTTAAAAGATCCATAGAATTTTTCTTATGGATGATATTACTCTTTAGGAAAATGAAGAGACTGAGATATCTATCGTTTCTTAATGCTTGCCCATTTTATGTTGATAGTAGATACTTTTCCTTTGTCATGAAAATATACACAATGAAAGCAAAACCCAATTAAGCTACTTCAAATCAAAGTGAACCAGAATTGTAGCTGCACTTGTTTCTATACCACAAAAATGTGTGATACATAAACCAAGCATACACATCATCGTATTGCTGCAACACTCACCCTTTCTTTGTCACCCTTTCTTTGTCACCATTACTCATCGTGTCATATCTAAAATATACATTATAAACCCCATAGGGATAGGGGCTGTGTCTTATATGTCTTCCGGGAAGCATCTTATACTTTTGAGTGTCATTATTATAAGCTTATGAAGAACAAATTAAAATGTACCCTTTGAGTGTCTTGTTGCAAAGACTAACTTTTGGGGTAAACGGTCAGACAACAGTTCAAGTGGTAGTGTGAATCCTGGTTGCTGAACACTATGACACAGCATCTGAAACAGGAGGCATCTGAAACAAGAGGTACAAGCTGAGCATCAGAGCGATCAGTTTGGTAGAGAAGCTCCATCTGCTGACACCTAGCCAGAGTAGGTGTGTCTACTATGTAAATATGGTCTGCTCCTGAAGTCTTTTCCCCCAGGTCATCACCAGATGTCTGGGGAGAGCACATTCAGACCCTGCTTACATTCTCCCCACAGCTGAGAATTTGTCATCCTGGCCAGTTGCACTCCATGTTATATCAGGCCCACTAGTTCTCCTCATAGGGTCTCAAGAAACCTTCTATTGTTGCCATAAGCCCATGAGCTAAGTGTATCAGTTCTTCATTAGCCTCTCCAGGAGCACCATAAATTAGCCTGTTTACTGGTCAGATAACCCTGTCATGCCTATTGAGAATGGGCGTTCCTGGGACTGGGGGATTGATTCTTTTTGGGCAAAGGCCATGCCTCTCCTTTTCTAGTACCAGAGGGTCTAGTACCACCCAGGCACCTTCCACCTGTTTGCCCTCACTGTTGGACAACCTACCTGGGTTATCTGATTCCTCTCTCTCTCCAAAGATGTCTGGAAGCACTGACTGGACATACTTCTTACTCCAGGTTGGTGTCATTAGTGACATGTATTTGCCAGCAATGGGCCTAAAGCATCCGTTGTACAATTTAGGAATGAAGAAGTGGAGCTTTCACAGACTTCAGCAGATTGAAGCCAGAAGCTGATCTCCATTCTAGGACATACCATAGCAGTGTTCTCCTCTTCAGACTCACTTTCAGATGCATTGGGTAGTGGTAGGTTAGCCCCAGGGACTCACTACTAGTGCTGGAAGATGGCTTTGGTCCAACACCTTTTTGTCACCCAGGTCCCATGTCATGGCCTATTTTGTAGGTGGGTGCTTATTAATTATCTCACTGGTAGTAAGAATTTCCTTGTACTGTCTTTAATTGCACTAGTACCATCTCAGGTTGGATTTTTGTAGACTGGCAAATCTCCCAAATTTTTAACCCTCAGGTAAAGTAAATTCCTGCTTTCAAATACCTTGTATTTGCCAGCAACTGCCAAATTTTGCAACAGATCTCTGTTTTATGGCTGGAGTTCCTGAGAACTCACCCTAACATCATACTAGTGCTTTTTACTGTGAATTCTTGCGGGCTGCAGCCATGTCTAAGGCCTTGTCTCCACTCCACATAAGATTGCTGCTGCTGTGATCGATTTTCTGGAGTTTGATTTAGCAAGTCTAGTGAAGACGTTCTTAATCTAATTCAGTGGGCACCTCCATAGGTGTCCAGTACTCCTGTTTTTGCAAGGAGTAAGGGAAGCCAATGGGAGTGTTTGCGCCCATTGGCCTCCCACTGTGGAGATACTGCCAAGGGCGCTTTTTCCGGAGGATCGGGGCCAGTGTAGACGCTCTTTTCCGGCTTTTCTAAAAGCCGGAAAAAAGCGGCGGACATTTTTATTTAAATGCCGCGGGGGATATTTAAATCCCCCGCGGATTTCCCTACTACGATGGCTGAAATTAACATGCCCCTTCCGGAAAAGGGGCCAATGTAGACGAGCCCAGACTGTTTAATCTTCAAACTGTAATATTCTGTATTGTCATCAGTCGTTCATTGACATGGATATCCCTGATGAACTAAACATCAATATATGTTTCCATAAATACATGCCCACATGGTTGTTTGGACTACTTTCTTTGAGTACTTTATTGCAGACAGCTGTGCATTAATTATTATTTATGTATATTATTTTAAACTCCCAAGCATCCACACAGAATGAGATCTGATTGTTCTAGATGTTACAAACCCTGCTCCAATGAGCTTTCAACCTAAGTATAAAAAAGATAAAACAAGTAAGTGTGACAGAAAAAACAGAAGAGGTGGGCAGAGCAGGGGGAGGAATTAAGTTATCAGAGCTGAATGACTGCTTTAGTCTTTAGCTCTGTGTTGAAGCTGGCATAATTAGCAGACATCATTGTTTCCTAGAGCCCCACAAATCCCCTCAAACCTCTCTTAATTCTCAGATGGGTACTTCACATAAAGACACTATCTGAGGATGAAGTTGTGGTAGAGGAATTCACAAGACAGCAAACCTGCAAAGCAGATTGAGTTGAAGAAATCCAAGATGGTGGCAGCTGAAGAAGTGGGCTGTGCCCACGAGAGCTCATGATACCATTTACATGTTTTGTTAATCTATAAAGTGCTACCAGACCATTTGTTGTTTTTTAAGTTTATCCTGTACAGACTAACTTGGCTACCCCCTAAAGCTAGAAGAAAGTGATCACCAAAAATAGGAATTAATAGAGCCAAGAAAAAAAATTTATAAGAAGATGGAAATCAAAGAGGAAGTCAAGTAATAAGATAACTAGAAACAAAGTTGAGTGTCCTCTTTGCTTATGAAGTACTCTGGACCACTCACTGAGGATATTATTTAAATATCAGGCTATATTGGGGAATGGAAATAAGAACTGCAAATACATGCTTGCTGTATGATTTAGAAGGAAGAGAGGGATGTAACTGCATGCTAAAATCAAACTTTCCCACACACTGAAACTTTCCATATTGCTTGTCAACATGCCTCATCATGGATATATTGAGAAGGTGGTTCAGTTTCAGTGTCCCATCAATTCTTGGCATTGAGCTGATACTGGCAAGGAAGGGGGTCAGCTCGTGCCATGGGCCTAAGACTGAAATAATAATGAAGGCTCCCAGTTTTCCTACATTCAACCATGTTTCCTAGCAGGGAAGATCCACTCTTACAATAGCTCACTGTAACCTGGTTGCTGCCAATGTTGCTATAATGGCACCTGATGCATGGAGCTTGCCATAAGAACACAGCTAGCATGCTCACTTTGATAATAAGAAATTAGTGCTTTGTAAAGCAATGATCGTTTGCAGTAGTCAAAATGCAATGATATACATACTTACAAAGAAATCCAATCCATTTTCAATAATCTACATTTCACTCTTCAGACATATAGTTGAAAGGCTACAACTAAAGAAAAGATGAAAACATTGATTGATGTGCATTACAGTTTTCTGATTCACCTTTTTAATGCTTTAACATTCCAAAATGTCTCTGTTTATGTTCTTAATCTACTCTTGGTTGCCATCTTAATTTCTGCTGGAAGTTTCAGTTGCACACAGGTACAATGGCGGAACTAAGTAACAGCAAAGCATAGCAACTCTAAAGACTGGGCAGTCATTTGGAATTTGTCAGCTGCACAGAATGAGCAAGTACCAGATTTTAAATGAGAAGTTGTTTTCAAAAGTGCATTTCTCTTGCCTTGTTCAGTTTTATCCCTTTCAGCTATCACCACAATGATCTGCAATAATAACTGTCTGTGATACCACAGAGCAAATCAAAGCAATCATGACAGAGCTGAACAGTTTGAATAGACATAGAAAAATTAAGGCAATGAGGAATGTTTCATATACAATGAAAGCCAGTGCTGTAAGGTACTGCTTGCCCTTCACTGCCATTTCTACTGTGCAGTTTAGTTGTAGCCATGTTGGGATTGGGATAGTAGACAGAAAAGGTGGCTGATGTAATTTCTTTTGTTAGACCTAGTTCTCTTGGTGCTGGTTGAGAGTCCCTCACAATATGTGCTAAATTAGAGGTTGGCAGCCTACAACCTGTGTGCCATAAGTGGCATGTGAGCCGACTTAGAGTGGCACGTGGCAAGAGCTCAACCGCCCCCTTCCCCATGCGTATGGAGGCTGTATGTTGGATGGCAGCTGATCTAATGTCTCTGGCCGGGGCCAGAGCATCAGGTAGCAGTGGCCCTAGCCGGGAACTGCCAAGCAGGAGCTTCCCTGCCTGTGGTGTGCCAGGCCCCACAGAGCTGGAGCAGCCCACTGACCATAAGTAGTCAGTATCACCCAGGAAGGGTGATGTTAACCATCCATATTCGTATTTTGAATAGGAATTTAATAGTTGGGCTTTATTGTTTTTTATTGATTTTGTATGCGTGTGCGCGCATGCTAGGTTGGTTTTTGTTTTTAAACCATCTAGCTGGTAGCCTTTTTAGAGCCTTTAAAAGATTTTAAGTAAGAATTATTTTATATATTTTATAGGAATACCTATAATTATTTTTATTTTCATGATAATTGTTATTGTTTTAGTTGCTTTACTATTGACTAAGGGATTTAGGGTGTTTATTTTGGATTTCTCTTTTTATTTTTACTTATTTTATGTTTAATATTAATCACTTCACATAAAAAAAAAGTGAAACTGTGAAAGCATCACAGGAAAAGCTGGAGAGGAGCCCAGGATAGGAGACCAGGCGGGGCGCATGGTGAAGAGAGCCTATCCTCCCACCTTCCAGGAAAGCGGCGTGGCCCAGGGTAGGAGGGTTAAATCTTGGCATGCCACTTCAGAAAGGTTGCTGACCCCTCTGCTAAACAATCCACATTGCATTTTACTGTTTGGAGTTCATTTCTCAGACCTGAAGAAGAGCTCTATGTGGCTCAAAAGTATGTCTCATCAACAGAAGTTGGTCCAATAAAAGATATTACTTCACCCACTTTGTTTCTTTAATGACTTCCATGGAGTTCAGGTTGGTGAGTACAGTAGCTTGAAATATGTCACTGAAACATCTTTTTGGCAACAAAAAGCATTCGTTTGACAAAATGGCATTTTTTTGAGAGAAAATTTCAGTTTTCATGATTTTTTTCTGGTTTTCATAAAATCCCCAAACTCAGATTTTTTTATTTATGTATTCATTTGTGGGAGGGAGGTATTGTGTTTGTGTGATAATTTTTTGACCACTGGGAACTTCAGTTTTCTGTCAAAAACATGAAAACTTATGCCACAATCACATTTTTCAATTTTGTTAAATTTTGTCATGGCAATGAAAATATATTGCTGAACTGCTTCAGTTCTGAGCAGTTTTGAGAGCCTTAAACTTTGTGAGAGCTTAATCTCACAATCCTCTGAGCAGCTGTTGGGAGGTGTTAAACACCTTCCACTCCCATAACACTACTTAATGATAATAAATGCTGCTGCTCTTCTTTGTAGGATTGGGCTCTTATACACACAAGTCAAGAACAGAAAGTCTTCAGGTTTTCTGTTCTACTTTAATTCACTTATTACTACTTATCAGGGTTCTGGAACCATTTTTATAGAGAAAGTGCTGAAAGCCATTGAACCAAACTATAAACTCTGTTTATAATGGATACCACTTCCAGCCAGCGGGTGCTGCAGCACTTCCTCCACTCCCTGTGCTCCTTAGTTCTAGCACCTATGCTGTTTATTTTTCATTTAAAAATCTTATTTTCAAACTCATTTCACTGAGGACTAGACAAAGCTACATAGAGTGCAGTTTTGCATTTGACACCACCTGGAGTGCAGAACTCTCCCCATTGTTAGGCCCTCAAATCTCTGGTCTACACTAGGGAATTATTTTGAAATAACCCCCCTTATTTTGAAATATTAAATGAAGCATCCACACTACCCTCTCGTTATTTTGAAATAACGGGCTGGTTATTTCAAAATTTGTACTCCCTAAAATTTGCTTTTCTTGAGGAATAATGTTTATTTCTAAATAGTGTTAGGCTACATCTACATTGGCAAGATTTTGCACAAATACTTTTAACGCACGAGTTTTTGCGTTAAAGTATTTGCGCAAGAGAATGTCTACACTGGCATGTGCTTTTGTGCAAGAGATGTGCTTTTGCGCAAAAGCATCCGTGCCAGTGTAGATGTTCTCTTGCGCAAGAAAGCTCTGAAGGCCATTTTAGCCATCGGGCTTTCTTGCGCAAGGAATTCATGTTGCCTGTCTACACTGGCCTCTTGCGCAAGAACAGTTGCACAAGAGGGCTTATTCCTGAGCAGGAGCATCATAGTTCTTGCTCAAGAAGCACTGATTTCACACATTAGAACGTCAGTGTTCTTGTGCAAGAACTCCCCGCCAGTGTAGACAGGCAGCAAGTTTTTGCGCAAAAGCGGGTGCTTTTGAGCAAAATCATGCCAATGTAGACACAGCCTTAGTGTTATTGCTCTACTGCTGCTATTTCAAAATAACTACTCCCCAGAGTAATTCAAAGTAATTACTCCCCAGTGCTGCAGATAAGCCAGTCATCTGAAGAAATGGGCTGTGCCAATGAAAATTCATAATACCATCTACGTGTTTTGTTAGTCTTTAAACAACCATTTGTTGTTTTTAATAATAATTATAATATGTTCTTTTACATACTTAGTTGGGTTGCTACTAGAAATTTTAGTAGGTACTGCAAGTCATAAACATATTTTAAAAGGTAACTGGGGAAAAGTGCCAACTAGAAAACAGTGAACTAAGTTAAAGAAAACCCATGTAGAAGAAATAAATGGAATCTCCATCACTAGAAATATTTAAGAGCAGGTGGGATAGACATCTATCAGGGATGATCTAGATGGTGCTTGATCCTGCTGTGAGGGCAAGGGATTGGATTTGATGATCTTTTGAGATCCCTTCCAGTTCTAGTATTCTCTGATTCTAGGATTCTAAATGGGTTCCAAGAACTAGTAGCTTTGAAATAACGCAGCACCCTAGTATTTCTGCTTATATTTTGTTATTTTACAAATATGGGAAGAGGTTTAAAAGGATCTTGACTACTTTTGGCTGGTTGAATTAATGAATTTCCAAGGACAAACCAGAAAATGTTAGTGCAGAGCTGAGCCAATGTTGTGGCTTGGCTTTCCAACATGAGAGACAGATTATTGTATTATATCTCATCTACAGGGAAACAAATCCAGAATCACTCCAGCAAATTCTGTGAAGTCACATAGTTCTGTTTCAGACAGGAATATGTTAATGTGAAATAGGTACCTTTTAGTTCATGCTAGCAACTCAAACCCCAATATTGCACATGAAGGAGCCATGTAGAGAAGCCCTCAGATTTGCAATCTGGAGTCCTAATTATTCAGACATTGGAGCAATGTGCTAAGAGAGACATAATATCACTTTTGTCTCTATAATAGAGTCCTCATGGGGCTGTGTGGCCTAGTGGTCAAAATCCAACCAGTAGTGGAAGCAATGGTAAAGGAGACAGGGCCTGCCCAGTCATTGCATTCTAGGGCACCAGGAGGGCAAACAACATTTGACTTCCCAGGGTGCTCTCTGAGATACCCTTCCTGTATCACTTCATCCCAGTACTTTACTCTCTCAGTTTCCTGCCCCAGATAAGCTAAAAAGGGGAAAAAAACTAAACCAAACCCCACATATAGCCCTATTCCGTTAGTGGGACTTTTTTGGCATGTCTGTAAGGAGCCTTCCAGGTAGGTCTGTCTTCCTTCACAGCTTCCCCGTCCTGAGTTGGTATGTTCCTTTTTCAGTCCTGTTGCTGGTTGGTGCATGAAAGGCTGGAGGGGCAGGGCTATCTGAGCCCAATACTCTCCTTAAACCCTTCCAGGCCAGTGGGGTTTGTACACTCCATCACAGTCTGACTGTTTCCTTGTTTTCCCCCATTTGCTGTATTAATTGACTGTTTTTTTTCTTTTAGTTCACACTAAATTGTAAGTTCTTTGGGGGTAGGGGTTGTCTTTTTCCCCCCACAATGGTCGCTATAATGAGATTCTGTTCTATGAGTGAGGATTCTGGGCCCTATCATAGTAGTAGTAATCAAATAAAATAATAATAATTAATAATGGGCTTCACTCAGCAGTGTTGTAATCCACCTTTTATGTTGGTATAACTCCACTGATTTCAGCTTACCACTGATTTCTGTGGAATCACAGACTATATATATGAGGAACAACACAGTGGTGCATCAGACCCAACATCTGTAGTGGCATATTATATTTCCCTTTTTCAAACAACATTTGTTCCATACTATAGACCATTTACCTTTGATGTTTGTATAGTGCCCAGCACAAGAGAGTCCACTGTAGCTGAAGTCTTTAGGCATTACTGCAATATAAATGTTAAATACCACTAATAACAGTATCTCCTTAAAATGGTTTCTTTCTTCCTGCCAATATTTCACACCTTCACCATTACCTCACTTGTTTTAAGTACCACAGGTAACCACAAAAATAAAAATAATTGATAAAGAAATAGGTGTTTGATCCTGCTCAGCCAGGCTCTGGCTTCCACTGTAACTCCATTGAATAACAAAATGTATTTGTTCTTACTGCAGTATGAAGATCTGGAAATCTTAAATTCTGAGTATGGAAAGAACATGATTAAGCTTCTTCGTATCAGAAGAGATAGCAAGCAGCACCACATTAAAGAAGTGGAGGCCTGTGTACATATTAGACTGGATTCTGTCAATGAATACGTGCATGGAGACAATTCTGCTGTTATCCCTACTGACACCATAAAGAACATCGTCATTGCTTTGGCAAAATGCAATGGGGTATTCTTTTAAACTATTCTATTGCCCACTTTCTTTCATTTGTTTTTCTTCCTCTGTCTGCTTTCTAGTTTGGCACTGCAGTTCCTCTCAAGATTTTAAATTGTGTCTTTCCTTTTTCCAGTACTTCTGTTTTATATAGAACATACACTCTCTCATCTACTATTTGGTGCCCAAATTTGAATAATCTATATTTTATATATTGAAGACACTTTTAGGCTTGGCTGGCTGACCTCTTTTATAATGAATGCTTTTTGCATTTGATCAGGCCAGATCCCCCATGTCTGATACCCCTAAACTTCGGAAAAGTATGAATGAAATTCTGGATATAGATATTGGAATTTGGACCCCTCTTTAGTTTTCTGAAGTATTTTGTCTGATAAATTTAGCCAGTGCTATCCTCACACCTGTCTTCAGGTACCTTTGTGTAGTATTGCTGGTACACTCTTTAATAAAATAATAATAAAATAAATAATAATAATATCTAGCTCTTATATAGCACTTTCCATCAGTAGATCTTAAAGTGCTTTATAAAGAAGGAAAGTATCATTACCCTCAGTTTAGTTCCATCACTTAGTCTTTAAGCACCCTAATTCTATATAGCCTAATTATGTCATAGTGTGTACCATATTCTCAATCTAATTAATGAAAACCCATCTTTAGTCTTTGTCCTTCTTTAATTCTTATTATTCAAATCAGACCACCCACCCAGAGTGTTTTGACATTAGATCTTCTGAGAGTCAGGATCCTGTAGTGACTTTTTTCAATCCCATGCCTCTAGCTTGCTTTGCCCTTTCCTGGGTGTGAATACTCCTTTAGGTAAGGCATAAGGGATCTCTGATAAAATATGACTTTTAGTTCCTATTGCAAATTAGAATGCAATAGGAGCTGCCTAGGTGCTAGACAGACATTATCTTTAGAAACCCAGAATTGAATGGCATTCATATCGGCCACAAAACTGATTCACGTGTACTGTGATCTGATCCTGTATGTCAATATACATTACATAATGGGTGCCCTCTAAGATGCTATTTGTTTTCTTAGATTGACACTATAGAACAATTTGCCCTGGATATCTGCAATCACTTCATGTCATCATTTTCTCATGTGGTGTACATCAAAACTTATATTCAAGAGCTACCATGGCGACGTCTACAACAGGTATATAAAAATACTACCACAATGCAGTACATATACCCTTGAAGCTCTGAACTCTGGGTGTCCTTAATCTGGGAACACCTGTGATATGAACAGGAAGCTTCTCTGTGTGCTGACACTCTCCCTTCTCCCAGCTTGGGGAAGGGCAGCGCATCTAGGCACTTCACCTGCAGTGTCTGGGAGTGGCACAGGTTTAGAGCCACATGTGCACCTGGGAGCAGGGAGCCAGGTAAGTGTCCATCCCCATCCCTCTCATACTCCACCTCATAGTGCCCTTCGTGGCCTGGCAAAATCTTTAATTCAGCATACCCTGTTTCCCAGCATTGCTGGATTAAAGAGGTTCAAGTGTATTCTGGATAATTGTTTCTCTCAGTTCATTTTTTTTAAAGTTATACTACAGTGCACTGAAGTTTTACTTACAAGTGTGTTTTAAATCTGTAGAAAGGCATTCCCCATGTCCACTCCTTTATCTTTGTTCCTGAAGGAATTCGCTTTTGTGAAGTCGAACAGAGTCCGAATGGTGAGTAAATAATTTATAATTTTTCAGCAGCGTTGTTGCTTCTTCCTCAATGTCTCTATTGATTAAAAACAGACAAGTTTAAGGAGAACAGCAGGAGCTAAAGGGCTTAGGACATTATCAAGGGTTCCTAAAACAAAGGAAGCAGCACATATAAAAGGTTTTACTGTGGATCTGATCTTGTGTCCTTGTTCACAGAATCATGGGTGAGCAAATAATGGGGCACTCAGATTTATATTTCTAAACACGTAATAATTACAATTGTTCACAAAACACTAATACTTCACAGGACTTAACTGTCTTCTGAAAATGGGCTGCTTAAACTAATATATTGTTAATACTAATAGTTTGACTATTAGTATTACTCCCACAGTCATTGATTTCAGGGGAGACAAAGCAGCGGTCCCTCCCTGGAGCTGCCAGCAGGGGATAAACTCTGTCTCCCTCTGGAGACACAAATGTTGGAAAGCAGGCAGCTAGTGGGTTCCCCATCTTCCCAGGGCAGTGGAGTTGGGCTCCAGCCCTGGGGTGGCAGGCAACATACTCCGGCCATGGGGATGTAGGCTCTGGCTGCATGACAAGGGCATCAGGCTCTGTCCACAGGCCTGGGGTGCCAACTTTGTAATCACAAAAAACCCAGACATCTTTGCCCCACCCTACCCCCTGATGCAAGGCCCCACCTTGACTTCCCATTACCTGAGGCCCCACCCCCTTAACTGAAGACCCTCTTTATCGGTGGCTCTGCCCCCCATCCCCACTTACTTCATCCTCCTCTCTCCATTGTGCTCTCTCACTTGGCCTGCAGAAACCTCTGGGCTGAGGACTAATAGAGGAGGAAAAGGGCCAGCTGAGGGAGCAGCTAAGGCTCTAGAGCTGGCTAACCTGCAACCCAACTCCAGGGAAGACAGCTGGTATCTCCTGTATACTGGAGTGACCATCTGAAGCACAGCTCCAGTTCAAGGAAGGGGACTCAGGGAATGAGGCAGGAGTGTGCCTTGAACAGGGACAAGAGCTGACCAGAACTCTTATATGAGCCCAAAGTAGAGTGACCTGGGTAGCCAAATAAAGTAAATTAAAATATTGTAGAAAGATTTATCAGACCCCACTAAGGGGGTACATGTTTTGAACCAACGTAAGTCTGGCTAATTGATTGAAAGAACCTGAGAAGGTGCTGAGTGCATTGTACATACAGAACAACAAAGGGCATGCTAGAATTGAGCACCCCATGAGAATTTGCACAATTCCCCTCCCCCCCAATCATGTACTAGAACTCACCAAAATGACATACCTTCAATTTTCAGTCTCTCTATCATGCAGCTCTTTAATATTTTTTCTGGATTTCCTGCCAAAGAGAGTTCAACCATTTCCTTTTTTATTGAAAGATAATTTTCTTTGCCTTTAATTTGCCTCCTACATGCATATTAATCAGACTTTGAAATTTACTTTAAGCAACTATTGCAGCGGTTTCCAACCTTTTCCAGATGGGGACCCATTTTGACAATTCAGGGAGACTTGGTGACCCAAGGCAGTTCAAAAACAGGGGAGGAGAGGGGGCAGAGTCACCTGGGGAGACATTTGGTGACCCTTTTGAAATGTAATGGCGACCCATATTTGGGTCCCGACCCATAGGTTGAGAAACCCTGAACTATTGCATTCTATCATTTCACTCTGCTAGTTAGAAGAGCTCTGTGAGACTTCATTTAATAAGCATATTTCATTATCAACACATTGAATGTTAAAAAGCACAGAGCTTTTGTGATCCAAACAAAGTAATTATTATTTTAATTGGTTCAACATTTAACAACTGAAAAGAAAGTATGGATATTGAACATAGTAATAGCACATTGCATCGGATTTCAGACATTATTGTAATAACGAGCTCAAAATGACAGATATTATGAAAAGTCACTGAGAAAGAATAAAAATAGACCTCATGATTAGAATGGGCAAGAAATTGTTTTTATACAAAAATGTTGAATTTTAAACAGCCCTCCAAAATAGTAACAACCTCTCAAAAAGCCCCAACATACAATAAAGTACTTGTATTTTTCTGCAAAAACGGTGCAATAAAATCTCAGTGTTTTATCTGGTGCATAGTTTTCATGAAAAATATTTTGCTGAAAACCCAATTAGCTGTTAAAAACCATTTTGATGGAAAACTTTCCATCAGCACTATTCAAATGTCACTTTTACACAATAATTTTTCAGCGTGTAAGTAACCTTCAAATACTATACCCCGCTGCCATTGCCCTGACCTATCTAGTCCTACCAGCAGAAAGAAATTTATCCTTATCTGGTTTAGAACAACAGACTCTCTTTTGGACCAAAACCACTTTGAGAAAGCTACTAACTGGCCTTTCCAGTATGTTTAATTTACCAGTGCTACAGCCACGGAGACTCATGGTTCCCATTGACTCTGGTTTGCCATTTGCAGCCAAGGGGAGCTGTGGGAAGTGGTGTGGCCGGGCTGCTGCTTCCTGTGGCTTCCCTTGGCTACAAATGGCGAACTAGAGCCTATGGGAGCCCCAAGGCTCTGTTGCCACGGTGCCGATAAATTAAACATATCGGCACGGCCAGTTAACAGCTATCTCAACGTGGTTTTTCAGACCACTTTGAGAAACACTGATCTAGTCTGATCTTCTGCACTCTGTAGGTCCATCGTATCTCACTCTCCCATTCCTGTAGCAGACCCATAACCTCTGAGTTATTGAAGTCCTGACAATTTGATTTAAAGACTCCAAGTTATTTTTATTTATTTATGTGTTTAAAATATTTTTACCCTGCCTCTCTATTTAAAATATTTGAGGTGGCTTACAAAAATGTTAAAACACAATAAATATACATATATAAAAGTAAAATACAAAACCCCAAAGGGGGGGAACATAAAACACCTCTAGAGGAGGGACACCTCCCCCCCCTAATAAAAGCATGGATAAAAAGGGTGGCCTTAGCCTGGTGTCAAAACAGTGCCAACACTGGCATCAGGTGAATGTCCCGGGAAAGAGAATTCCATAGCCTAGCAAAGACTGAGAAGGCCCTTCTCTGTGTAGATGTCAACTTTATCTCTATAAGTGGAGGACCATGGAGCAGAACTTCCCCAGCCGACCTCAATCCCCGGGCGAGTTTGTATAGGAAAAGATGGTCCTTCAAATACCCTGGTCCCAACCCATTTAGGGCTTTATAAGTCATAACCAAAACCTTGAATTGTGCTTGGAAACATACCTGAAGCTGGTGAAGCTGCCTAAGCACTAGCATAATGTGCTCTGTATAACGAGTATTAGTTAACACTCAAGAAGCTGCATTCTGGACCAGCTGAAGCTTCCAAAGACTCTTCAAAGGCAGCCCCACATAAGGGCATTACAATAGTCCAATCAGGCATCAATCACTGTAGCCAAGTCGTTCTTATTCAGGAAGGCTTGCAGCTGGCGGATCATCCAAAGCTGCCCAAAAGCACTCATGACTAGTGAGAAAATCTGATTTTCAATGTTAAAAAAGGGTCGAGGAGGAATCCCAAGCTGCTTATCTGTTCTTTCAGGGGAGTGTGACCCCATCCAGAACATCACATTCCCGGACAGATGGCTTCCTGATCCACAAGACCTTGTCTTATCTGGATTCAGCTTCAGCCTATTCAATCTCATCCAGGTCATCACTGTGTCTAGATACTGGTTCAGATTGATCGCTGCCATACCTGTACCCGACGTCACAGAGAAATAGAGTTGGGTGTCATCTGCATATTGATGGCACCATCCCCTAAATCTCCTTACGACCTCTCCCAGTGGTTTCATGTAAATGTTAAACAGCACAGGGGACAAGATGTTGTGGGACCCCGTACGTAGCACAATTACCATGTGGTCAAGCAGCAGCCCCCAAACTCCACCTTCTGGAATGTCCTGACAGGTAGGACTGGAACCACTGCAAAACAGTGCCTCCAATACCCAGCTCCATCAGGTGCTCCAGAAGGATATCATGATCAATGGTACTGAAAGCCACTGAGAGGTCCAAGAGAATCAACAGGGATGCACTCCCCCATCTGTCTCTTGGCGTAGGTCATTTACCAAGGCAACCAAGGTGGTTTCTGTTCCAAAACTAGGCCTGAAGCCAGACTGAAATGGATCTAGATAATCTGTTTCTTCCAAGAAAGCTTGGAGTTGCAACACCACCACCCGCTCAAGTACCTTGCCCAAGAAAAGAATATTAGTGACTAGAAGATAGGTATTCACATTGCATGGGTCCAGGGTAGGCTTCTTAAGGAACTGTTTTATCACCGCCTCTTTCAAGTTGGCAGGAACTGTCCCAGACCGAAAAGACGCATTAATAATCTTCTGGATCCAACCAGTCATCCCTTCTTGGCTCGATTTAATAAGCCATAAAGGGCAAGGGTTCGGCGAGCACATGGTCGGTCGCACTCCTCCAAGCACCCTGTTCACATCCTCAGTCTGCAAAAGCTGAAACTGATCCAAAGAAAAATAACGCATTCCATACAACCGCTACAGAGTATCCATCATTTACTCTAGTTGAAACTAACAAGAGACCTTGTGCCCCCTACAGCAGAGGAAGATGAACAGCCTTTCCTCCACACCATATACAATATCTTTGCCAATCTAACCTGGGAAAAATTCCTTCCTGACTCCAAACACAATGGTCAGTTAGACCCTGAGCATGTGAAGACCTGGGAAAGAATTATCTGTAGTAGTTCAGAGCCCTCTAGCATCCCATATCTGGCCATTGGAGATATTTGCTAATAGCAGTTACAAATGGCCTATATGCTGTTGCATGCAATGTCATCATACCTTTCCTCCCTGTACTTACCAAAGGCAGTCTGAAAACAAGTTAGGTTTTTTTTGCCCTCGTTACTCCCCTGGGAAAGCTCTGAAGATTAGAAACCATCAAATCTCAAACCTAAAATTTTCTTGTCCGATTTATATGGATTGCACCAATACTGGTCCTTCACTTGAATAACTCATCTCCCTCCCTGGTGTTTATCCCGCTCATGTATTTAGAGAGCAATCATATCTCCCTTCATTCTTTGTTTTGTTTAGCTCCTTAAGTTTCCTCACATTCAAAAGAACTTCCAAATAAAAAGTCAAGAAATCTTCTGGCTGGTATTGAGAAAGCTACGATCCTCTTACAGACTTTAATGTCATTTGGAACAGGAGGGTGTTTCTGATCTTTTGAAGATGGCTCTCAGCTACCTAAGGCTATGTCTAAACTGCAGAGTTTTTCAGGATACTCTGCCACGTCTAGGGATCGTGTCCACTGGTTTCAGAAAAGTTTCCGAAAAAGCAAGCGCGTTCTTTCGGCATCCCTGTATTCCTCATTTTAGAGACAAGCCAAATGTTGGAAAAGTCTCTGCTGAAAAAACAAGCAGAAAAAGATCCCCCTGCAGTGTAGACGTAGCCTAAGTGTGTGTAGAAAATAGCTTGTAACAATACTGATGTATCACACAAATAAAACCACTGCAGCTTGGAGTGAATGCTGTATGGCTATGGAACTGACCTTGCTGGGGTGAATGCTGAATGGCTATGCAACTGACTGCCACAGAGCTTCCATCTGCCTGCATGAATAGGAGCTCACCGTTTCCTTCTGATATGTTTGGATCACAGGTCGTCCAGTTATTTTCTCTGGAATTAAAGATTTGAAACTTAAGAAAACAGGACTGTCTGGATTTGAAGGTTTCCACAGGGACAAATACACCACACTTCCCGAGACCACTGACAGAGTTTTAAGCGCAGAACTGTTCTGCAAGTGGTGCTATGACGAGTGTCAAGATATTGACTTTGACTGCATATGGTATGTACTGAAGTGAATTGTATCTGCTGGTAAATGTATTATTCTAGACTTCTTCTAAAAACAAAGAATCTTCCACATGCTGTAGGCACTGCACAAACTGTGCCCTAAAAGCAACCCCAGTTTGCTTTTTGTAATCATTAAAACTATTTATTTAAAATCTCTGGGTCTGATTTTCACAGTTGCCAAGCACCCACAGCTCTCTTTGACTTCAGCTGAAGTTGTGAGTGTTCAGTACTTCTGTAAATAACACTGTGATACACATTGTCAGTTTTGTAACCTGGCATTACTCCTGATGGATCTGGGTAGTTCATATTTAGTACAGAGAAACTCCACAACATCTGAAGTTGTACCAAATCTGTTACATAACTTAAGTAAAAAGATTATTTGCAGAAATGTAGGATTGGAGTTAGAACGAGGAGAGGTTGGGGAAAGTGGCAGGGGAGTAGGCGTCATATAAACCCTGTGCTATATAGTAATATTAGATCTTTACTTTCATGCAATATTTTTAAGGGATATTGTTCACCAGAGTGTCCTTGAAGCATTTGCTGGGCCACCTGAATGTGGCGAATACTCACCCTCTTACCAGAAGACTGTCAATGATATCCAGATGCTCATCCTGGCAAGAGTTCCACAGGTATCTCCTTCACCATTTGATATTTAGCTCATAAAATAAATACAATTGTGAAATCCACTGAGAAGTTCAAGCTGAGCCAATGTGAGTTACATGTTAATTGGTCTAGAGAAACTAAGGAAAATATGAAACAGCCTGAAGATCAAGCCAGTCATTTTGGAAAACTGAGAATGCTCACAAAATGCCAACCCAGTGAGGTGTAGACAACTTTCCGTGAAGGTAATGGGAGGGAAGGGCACTCAGCACTTCACAGGGGTAGACTCAGAAAGAAAAGGAAAGAATGCTATGGATTAATGTTCCAGTGTTTCTAAAATGGATCTCGTTTATCCTCTGTGCCCACCCTTCTTTTGTGATTGATCAACTCTTTTTATTTATAACTAAAGGAAAATGTATCATATTGTCATGATTAAAGTATGACAAACTATGGACACCTATTTTATGGTTTCAGCTCAAGGAGGTTGAAATCATCTTGAACAACATTCATTATTATGACTCAGACCTGAAGAAACTGGGATTGTCCAGTGAAAAGGAGGTGAGGAGATGCTTAAAATATAAAACCTACCGAGGGGACTGGTGTGGTTGGGCACAATCCAATGTCTGAAAGTTGAAGCTAGATGAATTCAAACTAGAAATAAGGTGCACATTTTTAACAACAAGAGAAATTAACCACAGGAACAATTCATCAAGCTTTATGGTGGATTCTCTGTTGTGGACAATTGTTAAATCAATATTGGATTTTTTTTAAATCTGCTCTAGGAATTCTTTTGGGAAAGTGCTACAGCTTGTATTACAGAAGGAGGCCAGACCTTGGTCCTTATCTCCATGGTCCCTTCTGGTTTGGTATCTATGAAACTATTCTAGAACCCCTCAGCTGCCAGAACTCCCCTCTGAGATTTTGTTGCAGGTAAAAAGAAGTGAGAACTGGGTGCAACTCATGAACTTTGTGGAGAGTAAGGGTGCAAGATGGTGTAAAACATTTACACACCTTTTCCTCTGTGGCTCTTTGTATTGCCCAGTGCAGCTGAGGAGCCAACCTGAAAAAGTAACACTCATACAAATCTAGTATACGTGAGAAGATTATCAGGCTATTTGATTTTATGATTGCCACTTTTGATAGATGAATGAATTAGTTTCTCCTTGTTCTCTTGTTATCTCCTGGTCTGGATCCCCTTCCATCACTACTCTTAGCCTTTGAATAGCCAATATAGATTTGTTCCTGCTCTCATTTAATCTGTGGCAAATTTCCCACTGACTTCTGCAAAAGGAGGAATGTGTCCCTGTGGGGTTGATATTATGAGGTGTTGAGTGCTGTTAGGTTCTATGAATATTGATTTTAGTTCTATAATACCTCTGAGGTTAATGGATACTCTAGCTAGAGAAAAGTTATTTATGTGTATATAATTTATATTCAGGTGATGATTCCGGTGGAGACTCCCTATGGTTCCTGTACGTGCATACTCCGTAGGAAGAAGTGCTTAGAAGAACAAGCCTAAGATACAAGAGATGAGAATCAGTGTCAGTGAATTGGATGGACGTTTCAACAGGGGATACCCTAAACATTTGGGCTCCACTCAGACATACAGGATTAATTTACCATGTGGCTTTCTTTACAAAATGTATCCATTCCATTCATTGACTCTTGTCTATTGTTTGATTTTTGCCTTCACAAATTAGAAAATGAGTTTTTGAAAGGAGCCTGGGGAATTCAGATTTCCAAATCCCATTGGATCTCAGTAGGATTTGTGCACATAATTCGCTTGGGTGCCTTTGAAAATCCCAGCAAGAAATATTAAAATCGGGGTCATTAGACGAACTATTTTGAGGTGTATGATAGAAGTTTCAGTTAATCAGTTAATCTCTATAATGTGCTTTGCTCATTTAAAATCCTAAAGAGGCTCTATAAACTATTATTATTTATTAATGTTTGTGCATTAATTTATTGTATTATATTAATTATAAAATTAATTTATAATCATGAAAGAAAACCTGTAGGTGGAACTGGCATGACTTCAATTGATTACACTAATTTACACAGCTGAGTATCTGGTCCCATACTGTAAATTTAAAAAGGCAAAATTTTTACTTGTATTTCCACTGTAAATTAAATTGAACCTAGCTTGCTTCATCAAGGAAATGAAGAAATAAAGCAAAATTCTATCTACCTAGAGATCGTCTTTACAATATTAATAGTTCTGAAATTGACTAATACATGTGCTGATTATAGCAGGGGTGGGAAAATACCTACTCATGAGCTATATCCAGTCCATCAGGGTGAGCTCCTGGCAGGTGTGCACCACTATATTTACCCGCACCTTTGAAGGTACAGACTATGACAACTCCCATTGGCAGTGGATTACTGTTCCCAGCCAATGGGTACTGTGGGAAGCAGTGTCCTGGTTTGCAGCCAATAAGAGCTGTTATCTAGTACCTGTGGAGGCACCACTGTTTTTTTGCCTACACCAGATTATACAGCTGCCACATTATTCCTAAACAAATAAACAGCGGTGGGGATTTTGCAGGTGTATAATTGCTTTTGTGTTAACTATTGAAAATATTTAAAGATATCGGGCTATCGTCTGTGGGGTTCTTGAAATCTTCTTAATTTCATTTGTTGTTACTTTTGAGTAGGCAGGAGCAGGAGTCAACACAAGAAGGGTACGTCTACACAGCAGCATTATTTTGAAATAATTGACGTTATTCTGAAATAATATAGTGCGCATCCCCACAGTAAGCCTTCATTTCAAAATAATGTTGAGCTGAAGGACTTCTTACTTTGACTTATGGTAACTCTCATTTAATGAGGAGTAAGGGAAGTCGAAGGAAGAGTGTTCTTTCTTTGACTTCCTGCTGTGTAGACAATGCCAAGAGCCGAATTAAACTATTTCAACTTAAGGTACACAATGGACATAGCTGGAGTTGAGTAGCTTAATTTGACTTTAGACCTGCTGTGTAGATGTACCCGAAGTGAGCTATTGCTTTATTGGGAAAAAATAGGTAGACAAACCTACTTTACTTACAACTTGTTTAAAATATTTGGTCACAAAAGGCCATAGCTTTGGGCAAAGATATTAAGTAGCAAAATCAGATAATCTTATTCCTATATGCTCACAACCTGCAGCTAACACATGCGCAACAAATCCAGCGATTCTGAAAGTTCTATTTTTAGTTTCCAAGGGCAGGATTTTAAAAGCACTTAAATGCCATTTAAATTCAATGGGACTTTTGCCTAAATCACTTAGGCATGCTTGAAAAATCTCACCCCAGAAGACTGCACTCAGTTATACTCCTCACTCAGTTCATTTAGACTTATTTTGCCCTACTGGATCTGATCATATGCTTTGAATAGCACTATAAATTGAGGACCACATCTTGTATGGGTGCTTGGAAAACCGGGTGATTGCAACATAGGAGCACCTCATGCTCTTTCTTACACAAAAGAATTCATCTAGTTGCTTTAAATGCCACAAGAAATCAGAGGACAGCTATTTCACATCAACATGTGTTACCTCATTAAAGACAGTAGGACAAATTACACTTACAGATGAATTGGTTTCATATGTGCTTTTGTTTGCCTGAACTGCTCACTAGTTGACCTGTTAGCTTGGTATATAGTATTTTTAACTCGGTGTTGTTTTATTCCTTTCTTCTTTCTCTGAAGTTTATTTTATTACACTTGAGAATTTCAGATCATTACTATTCTTCTACATTATAATTTAATGACTGCATGGGCTTTTGGTGTATCTATGTAACTTTTAATGGGAAAATAAAAAGCAAAGTTAAAAAAGTTGTCTATTTGCCATTTATTGAATGAGAGGTGAGGGCACATGGATCTGATTAAAACAAATGCATACTATATAACCATAGAATCATAGAACTGAAAGGGAGTCTAATCTCCTGCATTCATGGCAGGACTAACACTATACCATCCCTGATAGGTGTTTATCTAATCTGTTCTTAAAAATCTCCAGTGATGGTGATTCCACAATCTCTCAAGGCAATTTATTCCAATGGTTAAACACGCTTACAGTTAGAAAGTTTTTATTAATGTCCAACCTAAATCTCCCTTGCTGCAATTTAAACTCATTGCTTCTTGTTCTATCATCAGCGGTTAAGGAGAATAATTTTTCACTCTCCTCCTTGTAACAAACTTTTAAGTATTTGAAAACTGTTATATCCCCTCTGAGTCTTCTCTTTTCCAGTTTAAACAAACCCAGTTCTTTCAATGTTTCCTCATAGGTCATATTTTCTAGACCTTTCATCATTTTCTGTTGCTCTTCTCTGCACTTTTTCCAATTTGTCCACATCTTTCCTGAAATGTGGCACCCAGAACTGGATGCAGTACTCCAGTTGAGGCTTAATAATATTACTTACATTAATTTTAGACCATTCTTAAAAAAATGATTCCACCCCTTCTATTGAAGTCAAAAAGCTGCGGAGTTTTCTGAACATTTCATTACTACCTCTTCCTAGGTTAAGCAGATTATTTATTATCTGTGGACAGCCTGCTCATTGCTGTTAGACCAACTTAATGGGAGAAATAATGTAGGAAGAAGACAACAAAATCCTGATTCAGACTTTCCTTTGTTTCTGAATATACATCATTACTCATGCTATACAGTGTCTCCAGAACCTGTAGGAGTACATCTACACAGTACCATTATTTTGGAATAATTGACATTATTTTGAGAAAAAGTATGCATCTACACGCAAGCAATTATTTCAACATACCTGTAGCCCCCACTATCTATATAGTCCTAGCAATGGGGCAGGAAGGTCTCACTGCAAACCCCATTAGCCATTGCTCAAGCTCCAAGTACAACCAACTTCATATGTGCACTGGCAGATTTTGTTAACTGAGCTAACAAATATGAAAGAGATTAAATACATTTTCAAGTATGTACAATTGCTGTTGGTAAATTGACCATCTCACAATGCAAAATGCTATACTCTACATAGCTAAGTACGATGTCAGGAAATTTTTTTCTTTCTAAAGAAAATATAATGCATTACCTTTGTAACCCCCTTTTTCCTCCCTGGGTTACTGGGGAGCAGGTCACACTCACAGATGTGCCTGGGCGCCTGGTGTGTTAACCCAAAAGAGATCCTGAGCACCCCAGTGGTGATGGTGTTTAGTTGGGGAAAGCCCTACCCATCCCCTTGCTGGCAATGAATGTAAAATGGCGGTGCCTCCACCTGGCTGGCCTTGTACACACTCACTGGTGTGCCTTGAGAGCCTCCAGGAACATAGTCATTCCAGCTATAATATGGATCCAAAACAACAACTACAAATCATATACATCTAATAGAATACTTTAAAATAAACAATCTTTGCGTAACTTAAACAGGGATTAACAGAATTAGAAATGAATAGTATTAACAAAACACATAACAATAATTGATGCTTATATAGCTAGAAAACAGTGACCCCACCCCAGAGTGTGCACACCCTTAGACTCAGTCCCAGACTTGCTTGCGTTGGCGCGCTGATGTTGCAGCTGTAGTGAGGATTTGGTCCAGGCTAAACAGCAGCTCTGTGCCAGGCAGCACTTTTCCAACAGGGCCGAAACTTACTGCCTCATGCTGTGCCTATCGGAAGCAGCCTGCGAACTCCCAGTTCCAACAGGCATCTAGTAGCTGCATCCAACAGCCCCTCCACTGGGTCAATGTCCTTGGCAGCAGCCTGGCGCCCCCTCTGGTTCCAAATTCCAAGGCAGAGTCCCAGACTGCTAGGCCTCTTTCTTCAAGCACATGGAGAGAGCAGTCCTCTCTCCCCCCCAGAGTCCTCCCTTCCTGTTTTTTCCCAAGGGCTCATGGGAATTGTAGTCTGGATTGTAGCACACAGGGTCTTTTCAGAATAAACCAGAGGCCCCTTTAGTAAGGGGACTACACCTTTTTTATATCATTGAGCACCCTAGACCCTGCAGCCCCCCCACCCAGACTATGCATTCCCAAACCCACTTCTGCACTTAATCTCCCACCCAGACCCTGCATCCCCACCTCAGTGCACTTCTGCATCCTACCTCCTGTCCAGACCCTGCACCCCAGTTCATTTCTGCATCCTCTCTCCCTCCCAGATCTTGTACCCCCACTCTGTTCCCCAGCACACCCACACCCACACTGAACCCCCTCATTTTTGGCCCCACCCCAGGGCCTAGAGGGCCCCCGATCTCCAGAAGAGTTAATCTGGCCCTGGGGGGGGGGGGAAGTCCTGAGCCTAGGTGCCTCCCCAAGTTGCATGGGTGACGTGCATGTATTTCTTCTCCCTCCCCCCGTTTATCAGTCATGTGGTCCTCAACTGATTTTTCTGTGTATCAGTGTGTCTCAATCCCTGCTTTAGACAAAAAAAACCCCGTTCACTTACAAACTCCTTTTTATCTTTTTATATTTGAATATCACTGTATCCAAGGATCTGACTGGAGGCATTTTCCACAGGAAGCCAAATAAAAGTAAAATCAAAGCAAAATCAAGCAATATCCTGCCTTCGTATTTTTGTCTAAGTGCCAAAAATAAGATCCTAAGATTAACCAGACATGATTCTAAGGAAACTCAACCTGAGCCAAGCTACACTGGACCACACCTAAAGGACAGCAGCTGGGCTAAATCAGAGAAGGACATACACACAAAGCAGATCAGATCGTCATAGAAGGAAGGAGCCAGACCACTCTAAATCCTTGGCGTTTCTGTACCTATTGTTCTAAAGATGGTCTTTGTAATCACAGCCAGGTAAATAGCGGATCACAGCAAAGGCTAACACATCTTAATGTAAAACAAAACAAAAAAAAGCAGTCATGTAGCACTTTAAAGACTAACAAGATAGTTTATTAGGTGATGAGCATTCGTGCAGCAGACCCACTTCCTCAGATCATCTTAATGTGTTATGGAAATACATAACATTGTGTGCAGAGCCACTGTGCTGTGCTATGCTGTGTGGGCAGTGAAACACAGTTTTGTTAATGGTAATTATGCCCGGCTTTTTCTACATTAACAAAACATACCTGCTTGGACTGAGATTAAGAGTTTATCCAACATGGGGAATATGATTAATTTCTATCCAAATGTTTTAAATCTTTTACTAACTTCTGTCTTTTCATTGTTTCTTTATTATCTGTTAATTGCTATTAAAGATTTTGTATGTAGTATTGGAGTAGCTTCTAGGTAATAAATAGGGCTGGGTGTAGAATTCATAGCAAATCGTTTTGCTTCTTTTTCTGTTTGTAAAAGGCTTGCAAACAACTGAAAATGTCCTCTTTCTCCAAAATTATTCACCAGGTAACACCCTCAAATAATTGTTTGTTTATAGATTGTTTCTGAACAGTTTGTGTTGTGTAGTAGGTCAGATTAAATGATCGTAAGGGTCTCGTCTGTTCTTAAATTCTATGAACTCTATGAAACATCAACAGAGGAGCAGAAAAAATGCCATAAAATATTTTAAAACAAATTTTAAAACAATTTGGACATATTAAAGGATGCTTTATCTGAATTAATTTAAAACAAAAGCTTCAGAGGGATAGCTGAGTTTGTCTGTAAGTGGAAAAACTTGAAAAACAATGAATAGTCTAGCAGCACCTTAAAGACTAACAAAACATGTAGATGGTATCATGAGCTTTCTCATGAAAGCTCATGATACCATCTACATGTTTTGTTAGTCTTTAAGGTGCTGCTAGACTATTCATTGTTTTTCAAGTTTTTCTAATTTAAAACAAGTTAGTTAACAGAGTTACTTT